TAGGTCGGGGCAGGGTGACGTGGTGGTGGTGCTGTGTTCGTGAGGTGTAGGTGTGTGTATGTAGGGGCAGGGTAACATGGTGGTGGTGCTGTGTGTTCGTGAGATGAAGGTGTGTGTAGGTCGGGGCAGGGTAACGTGGTGGTTGTGGTGTTGTGTTCGTGAGATGAAGGTGTGTGTAGGTCGGGGCGCAGGGTGACGTGGTGTAGGTGGTGTGTGTAGGTTGGGGCAGGGTAACATGGTGGTGGTGTTGTGTTCGTGAGGTGTAGGTGTGTGTATGTAGGGGCAGGGTAACATGGTGAGGTGTAGGTGTGTGTATGTCGGGGCGCAGGGTGACGTGTGAATCGCCGCCTACTCGCGGTAGTGTTGCGGCAGGCGCGAGTAGACCCCCTGCTGCAGCTTCAACGCCTCCCACATCTTGGGCGGGTACTTGTGCAGCGGCATGGCGCCTTTCGCTCGCCTCCACGCGCCCTCGCCGCGACGTTGACAACAATCGATTGAAGGCGATGTTAAGAGAGTAACAGCGCCGATGTCGATGGATGCTTTTTGGTGATCGATTAATCGGCTGACGGAGTCGCTCTGACCGCGGTCACTGCGTGGGTCGAGGCCACTCCAGGCGACACGATGCGCACCAAGACGGATCAACCGCTCCCGACAAACCCTCCCGGTCATCTATCTGACTATCTCCGCCGTCGACAACGTGAAAACGCATCGACGAATATCTTATTTTCTTTTTCTCTGGGGGTTATTCTCCAGCGAGGTGAATTCGTGAGCGCGCGACTGTGTTTTTAGTAATTTAGCATGGAGCGTAAATCGGGACTGCTGGAGCCTTTGCGAGAGATCTCGATCCCAAGGATTGTCGTCGGCGCAAGTGATCAGGTTGAGGGCGCGTCGAGTCGCCGCTGCCACTCAGCTGAAGGTGACCCCGAGGGGAGGGGGCTGGTGGCGTTTCTTAGGTTCCCAAACCACGTGGAACCAGCATGGCAATAACCGTCGCGCTATGCAGGAAACACGACACGCGGAACCGCCGTTGTCAGTGATGATCACGGCTGTGTACACCATTGGAACCTCATTTGCCAGTAACAAAATATGATAATTGTTTTTTTACCCTTTTATCTGGCAAGAAAACTGACACCTTTTTTTACAAGGAGTCATGTTTGCATTATGACTGCAGGTATTGTGGTCTATGCAAAAAAAAGGTGTCAGTTTTGTTGCCAGATAAAAGGGTAAAAAACCAATGATCACGGCTGTGTTTGGGCGTGTAGGGCTCCCCCAGTGGCAGCTGTCTCAGTGCGCACAAGATGATTCCGCTAGTAAACATGGCCCAACGTTGCATGTTTACCCGAGCACCTGGTTTATAAACATTGTAATTAAAATCCCTTTGTGATGTCAATGACCTGCATATTTTCTATACTTCGCGTGCACTCTCAGGGCAATTGCAAGCACGCATCTCATTGTACCGATCGGGATTAGTTCCCTCTTAGCTGGAAAAATAAATGCAGGTTACATTTTCTAAAGTCTTGGGTTACCCAGAAAGGTCAAGGACTATACAGTACCCGTTCGTTTAATGTGTGATAATGTTATGCACAGCTCTTGTCGATTGATTTGCTGGATTAAACATCGTGTCGGTCACGGAGCTTGCTTCGCCAAAACTTCGCCAGTGCTCGTTGGTGCAAATGGTTGCCTGAGACCCATTCAGGTGTCGCCACTCATCCTAGCCGCTTCCCGGAGTCGAACTGGGGTTCACCATGTTTGTTTGTTGTAGTACAGAGTTAGACTGATGGCTTTAATCTAAGTTGTCTTGTGGTTGTTGTTGTTTGACTTGTATCCCACTGGGATTTTTACACACAGTGTTGGTGTACGGTGCTTTTTCTGCAATATTTTACTGTCTTTTCTTGGATTTTCTGTTTGCACTCAGTCACATATTCACTTTAAGATGTTTTTTGTTCATGTTTTTGTTTGTTGCGGTTGCACCCGATTCAAGAGCCGAATGGCTCACAGGGCTATACCTAATACATGAACTTGAAACTTGAACTTGAAAACCGAGCTCAAAGCACCGTGCGATACATTTCCACGAGCCGTCCAACAACTCTATACACTAGGTGGCAGCAGATATATGAGAGAATACACATGGAGTTAGCAGCAGGCGGCATGGCAATTTGACGAGTGTGTCTTGCAGCCACCACGTCGCTTATCTGCATAAATTAAAATCATCATGAACCATTGTCCACGGTTGGATGAAGGTTTCCCCAGCCCTTCGCCCTCTGGCGGTCATGCAATAAACACAACCAATCCACGTCGCTCCTGCACAACAGCTAATTCCATCGCTCCATCTCCACGGCGGTCATCAAGGTCGTCGTCTTTTCCCTCCTTCGCCACTGCGTCGTTAGTTTCGACCAGAGGTCGCAAACGGGTTTTGATTCCTTACCCGTACCCGTCCGTACCCGTACCCTACCCGTACCCAGCTGGGTACCCGATACCCGTACCCTACCCGTACCCGACTGGGTACGGGTAGGGTACGGGTATCGGGTACCTGATTGCGACCTCTGGGATGAAGCCACGTTGCAGGCGCGGGTGGGTTGATTCTAGGAACTTGAATTGTGAGAAGAGACAAGACGTTGGGAAATGAGTGACAAACAGTTACTCACCAGTGACTCACGGCCTACCCCTACCCGTACCCGGCCGCACCTGGGTCGCAAACGGCTACCCGTACCCGGTCGGGTACGGGTAGCCGGGTATCGGGTAGGGTACGGGTATCGGGTACCCGGTTGCGACCTCTGGTCTCGACTTCGAGTCGTCATCATCATCCTCATACCCTCAGTAGGGACGTGTCCTGCCCACGCCCACTTTATTATTAATATTTTATTTTAAAACAGCTGCTCACTCAAAACTGATTATTAATAAATACCATTCTTAAAAATGTGTTTTTTTTAAACCATGCACGTTCAGTCTGTACCCCACGTCACCCATCAATTACGCCGAGTATAATTTACGCAATGACTAAAACTAATGTGTGAGCATGACCAGGCGCACGTTGCTATGCAGATCTCTTGTGTGTATACACAAATAATTTATAATTTAATAAAAAAAAAAGCAATGATAATTTATTGCCGAGATTTGTTGGAAACAATATTTTGGGGCAGACTGGTATTCGTCAAGACGTTATTATAATACAACGATATTCTTGTGTGCGTGTGTGCACATAGACGGGCAGAGGTCAGTCCCACGCAACTTGTGGAGAATATAAAAAAACCTGTGAGATCGACAGTTCGCCAGGAATGATTGAAGCAAGCCTCGACTGCTGATGCGACACTGTCGAAACCGGTCCAGCATTAGTCTTGAAACAATGCTGCTGAAATCAGGCACCTACAAATGGCCGTCCGGCTGATGGGTTGTATAAGAAATATATATTTTTTATCTTTAACGTGAAAAGACGAATATGCGAACACGACGTATTGTCTGCTCATTTATTGATTTTACCAATCTCCGTTCAAATACAACTTAATTCGTTGCACGTGGAACGCTCCTGATGATGAATAAACAACCCACGTGATCCAGAGCTCTGATTCAAACTGATAATGCTCTACGCCACAAGGGATACACGTGTACACACATACACGTCTTTATAACTACAAACATGTTTACAGGTTACCTATCCGGATTTTAAGATGCTTCGGAAAGTAAGACTCATCCCAGACCTTGTTCCCGGTGTCAATAAAGTTATACGATTCTGGTCACACACACACCTACCGGATAAGACGCACCCCCAACTTTTGCTTGAAAATGCAAGATAATGCAATACAAATTGCGCCTTATAAACACATTCATGCGGGGGGAGCTGGTAGGAACGTTGGGTTGCTCGGCCAATGGCCAGGGTCAACGGCGGCGTGGTGTATTCCGCAAATATGCCCGACTGTGAGGGCGGGCACAAACCGGCGTGAGTAGGTTAAACGTTGAGTTTTATAAGGGCACCACGGGGTGAGCAGCTCCTCCCCACCCAGCCCCACCCCTCCCACCCCTCTCCACCCAGCCTCACCCCTCCCATTTTTGGATGCACGACGGACACAATAATCCCCTGTGGGCTGGTGGAACCAGGTGGTTCCTACCAGTATTATTCAGAAAATACAGGACATGTGTAAGAGCGTCAAGCAGGAACATAACATTGTAATTCATATTGCATCGCAGGCCTGCCTCCAGCTCCTCTTGGATGGGGGACACAGTTTGGCAAATGTGTGGGTGTCCTATTGCGGTGATTTACTGCAAAAGGGGAGAGTGAACTAGGGGGCGGGGGGGGGCAGAGGGACATTTGGTGGCCGGCATGCATACCGGACATCTGTGGGGGGGGGGAGGGGGAAACGCTTTATAGCTCATCGGATTTCTCCAGTGCAGAAACAATATTCTGATATTGTTTCTGCCTTCACAAACCCGCACTGACCAGCATGGTGAAGTATGGTCAGACAACCAGCCCATGATCCGTACGGTGCGGGCAGAGCTCTCAACCAACAGCGCATTGAAAAACAGAAGAAGCTGTGCATGTGAACATGGCCCAGCGCGCGTGTGCCGCGTGTTCAGGATGACGGACGACGTTTCGCTGTACTCGCTGCGGACCTTCTTCAGGAACCGAATTCAACGAATAAACACGAACAACACGCGGTTATAACCAGGGGTTAAACAAAACAATACAACCCAGAAGAACCGAATAAAAATTACTGAAAAGGCTCCGAGCACGCGGAGCGAAACGTCGGATCGAAGTAGAACACACATCGGAGAGCAACAGAGAGCGAATGAAGACGCGGGGGTGAATGAGGAGGGGGGGGGGGGCAGCAGTGAGTGCGTAAGCGAACGAGGAGCGAGGGTGGGGTCCTCCTCACCCATCCCCGTCATCTCGTCTCTGAGCTCGTCCCAGCCCCCTTGGGGAGCCCCCCCCTACCCCCTCCCCCTCTGCCCCCCCCCCCCGGTATAAGTGGCTGTGCGCGCCGTGGAGTGGATTGTGAACACGCGGGCTCAGGAATGCGCGGTCTGGCACCGCGCGGAGTCTCTGTGCGCGCCTTCTACTGCTGGGCGGCCGATGCGTGAGGCTACTGCTGCTGCTACTGCTGCTGCTGCGGTTACTGCTGCTACTGACTTGCGTCTCTACTCGTTCCACGAGCAGCGTGGAAAGCCTTTGGTTGTGTGGCTTGGCTGGTGCATGGGTAGGTGCCTGGGTAAGCGTGGTGGTGGGTGATTCGGTGCTTGGGTTTGTGAGTGGATTGGGTGCCTGGGTTGGTGAGTGAGTAGGTGGTTTGGTTGGTAAGTCGGTGGATATATGGGTTGGTGAGTGGATGAGTGGATAACTGGATTAAGTGAGTTGTTGGGTACCTGGGCCTGTGGGTGGGTTAAGTGAGTGGGTGGATACCTGAGTTGCTGGGTGGGTGAGTGAGTGGGAGGGTGTGCGAGTGGGTGGCTGAGTGGATACCTGAGTTGCTGGGTGGGTTAAGTGAGTGGGTGTGTACCTGGGTGGGTGAGTGGGTGTACCTGAGTGGGTGAGTGGGCACCTGGGTGGGTGAGTGAGTGGGTGAGTGTAACTGGGTGAGTGTACCTGAGTGGGTGAGTGGGCACCTGGGTGAGTGAGTGGGTGAGTGAGTGAGTGTACCTGGTTGGACGGGTGGGTGAGTGTGTGTAACTGAGTGAGTGTACCTGAGTGAGTGGGTGGGTGAGTGAGTGTACCTGAGTGAGTGGGTGAGTGAGTGGGTGAGTGAGTGTAACTGAGTGAGTGAGTGTAACTGAGTGAGTGTACCTGAGTGAGTGGGTGAGTGAGTGGGTGAGTGAGTGTAACTGACTGAGTGAGTGTACCTGCAAACGGAGGATTGGCGAGCATGCAGCACCGGGCGCGAGCCAGCGGTGCTCTGCTCCTGAGCGCGACAGCGCTGGCCCTCTTCTGGATGCTGGCGAGGCCCGTGCAGGTGGGTCCGGGTCCTGGGCGTGCAGCATGGAGAGCGGTGGCGCGAGCAGCGTGCAAGGGGTTCAGGGCTTTTTACAAAGACAAACATCCACCACCCCCCCACCCCACCCACCATGTTTTGCCTTTAACAGACTGTTAGGGCAAGTGCTGTTAGCGAGTAGCAGCACCTATGAGGGTCGTTACGGCACACTAGGGGGTTGGTGGCCAAGACTACGCCCGACCGCCTTCATCTCCCCAGGTAATAATTTAAGGCTGAGTTGACCTAATGGATGCCCAGGATCGGTTCAGATATTCGTCACTGAGTATTTGACGTGAGCGGGAGTCTGAGGTCGCCGGGTTCGTAGTGCAGTGTGCTAATCATGGCAAAGACAAAGCTCCCCCGTATATCCTTGAACAGAATGTTGGGGCAAGTGCTGTTAGCGAGCAACTATGAATTACGGCACGGCACACGAGGGGGGGGGGGGGGGTGGCCAACACAACGCCCGGCCGCCTTTGTCTCCCTAGTGGCGATGTGTACGCATCGCACCAAGTACTAATTTGAGGCTGAGTCGACCTAGGGGAGGCCCAGGACCGGTTCAGATAACTGTCACTTGGTATTGGCCGTGAGCTGGAATCGAACTCGGGTCGCCAGGTTCGTAGCGCAGCGTAGCGGTAACAGCTACAACTATACCGCTCCCCACTCAACTACTACAATACCATGACACACACACGTAACATTCTCTCTCTTAGGAACCCTTTGTGTGTCACGTGCGCTGCTCTCTGAATGTGTTTTCGGGTTGTATCGCGTTTTGGAGATCGGCATGCTGTCCGACGTTTCGATCCACGTACTGAATTGAGCGGGAGCCGCATGCTCAATTCGCTTCCCGAAGAAGCTCCGCCGTGCGTGGAGCGATTACACTGGTCAACAATTTTTTTCTCGCCTGGACTTTTGCAGCTGTTTTAGACTAATTTCAGGGTGGTGATTCCAAATCTGATCTCAGATTTGCTCTATCACATCTCATTTTTATGCTATCGGCATACTCCATTTTCATTGATTTTACCCGAAGTTAACTCTGTCACTTATGATTGCAAGTTGTTGCGAGTCAGTGACTGCTTTAGTGTTAAATATGGTGCTGTATTTTTAGGATAGTGTGTTTATGATATCATGTTATGTAGATATCCACATTTATTTAATATTTTTCGTCTGCAGTTTTTATTGAAAATGCTATATTTAATATCTCAAAAACCTAATGTAGTAAACAAAAACTGATGCCAGATTTAGAATCAGCACCCCAAAAATTACATTGAAATCGTTGGAATACCTTATGCCAGAAAAAGTGTGTTGACCAGTGTAATAAAGCACAACCGTGAAATCCTACGCAGCCGTGTGTGTACGCGCATGTCTCACGTGGCGCAGAGAGCCCCGATCCAAATTCACGGCCACGTGTTGTCGTACATTCGCGTGTGTACGTTCGCGTGTGTGTGCCCGCCACGTAGCGGCTGTCCGCTGCAGCGGGTGTTTGCGGTGATTGTCGCGCTGCGCTACGAACCCGGCGGCCCGAGTTGGAATCCCGCACACGGCCAACGTCGCTGACGAATGTCTGAACCGGTCTTGGGCCTCCGCTAGGTCCACTCAGCCTCAAATGAGTACCTGGTGCGGTGTGTAATCGTCAGCATTTGGGGAGATAAATGCGGGTCGGGCGTGGTGCCGGCCATCGACTCACATCGTGTGCCGTGCCGGCCTTCATATGTGCTCGCTAACAGCACTTTCCACCAAAAGCGTGTTAAAAAGTTATACGTGTGTGGGGGGGGGGGGGGGGTCTTTGTCGCACGTGACGTTGTGACTGTTTACTGCAGCCACGTGCTGCGGCTATTGTGATGCTGCACGCGGCGTGCGGTTTTGAGCGAAGAGCGGACGATTTTTGCAGCGAGAGACCACGTGGTGTTTGGCATCACGGGTGTAAGCGACAGCCGTGTTGGGCGACAACCCTTCACCGAGCCACCGCTGGACGCACTCCTCGCCTTGTCACCCATTGGAACAATCCACGGAGATGTTGAGTTCGATTACCGGTCATGGCGAACACGGATTTAGAACATTCAAAACAATTACCCATCCCCGTGTCTTGAGACAGATGAGGAAGCCCACTTTAAAATGTTAACACGTACATATTTGTATGTTAATGGTTTAATCTAGTAAATAAATAATTGAGAGTTTTGCGCTTAATTCGTAGCGGATTTTTCACTTAACATGCCAGCTCCGAGGACTAAAACGCATTTGGTTCGACTCCACGTGACGTAGAATTCGATATTGATCAAATCTGTCAAATACGAGGAAAGGCCCATCATAATATTAACAATAGGTCGAGCTAGAAAACCTTCAATTTCAACGCCTCGATAGCAGGGCACGTGAGAAGGCGAGAGAGGCAATTGAGGAAGGGACCTCAGACGTAGTTCTCCGATGTCACCTTCCACGGGCCGTTCTCTGACACGTGGTGACGTCGACAGTTGACCGTGGACATCCATTGGCGTCGTGACATCACGCCGCGAACAGCGAGCCTCGGGTGTGAATGGAGAACATTCTGTTTCTGCAAATGCTTCTGACGTCTCGGATGAGGAATGTTCGACTGAAAGCGTGTCACCTGGACCCAGGTGGCCTGCCTGTTGTGAGCATTGCGCGCGTGTCGAGAGAGTTTCGCGTTTGACAGCGGGCGCCGTCTTAAGGACGATTGCAAATGGGAAGTTTTAAACACGTGGGCTTTCGCGACCAATATCCACAATAGAGGTTTGTTGGGGTTAGGACGCGTAAATACGCAAAAAGGGAAGCAGCTTACATGTATAACAATCTGTGTGTGTACGTGCTTCCCCTGTGGGGTGTTTCCTGCAGATTTTCGTGTTTGCGTATTTACATTCCGATTTGCGCTGTCCGTTGTCATGGCACGAGACAACGGAGTTTCCACTCGGAACATCCACGGCTCGCGATGCCGTGCCATGTGTCAGGAAAAACAAAACTGACCCGGAAGATGGCATCACAGAACTAGAACGAAAAATAGGATTTTTTTTGTTACCCTTTCTGGCAGTACAACAGGAGGTGTTAAAATGTTCAAAGAACAAATAGAAATCTTTTGAAAAGAATCAAGTACATCATTAGCCACACACACAGTACTTGTGGTAAACATGCAAACACAACACGCTCTGATAATAAATGGCATTGTCTTTGAAACGGATTGGCCTACACCAGGGACAGCCTGAAGGCTGCAGACTTTATTATTTGCAAAAGGTATCTATTTGGTGTTTGAACATCTTAACACAATTGTTTTATTGCCAGAAAGGGTAAAACCTATTCTTGTTTTTCATTCTTTGATACCGGCAAAAAAAGGCCCCATGATAACGACTTCTGAGATTCCTTAAATAGCCTTCAAACCACGCCGCCGTAGGAGTCAATGAATATCATCCATTAACCATTCTCAATCCGCCAATGAATGAATTCCTCCGCACGCCATGTTGGTCACGTGGGTTCTCTTGACCATACTTCACCAGGCAGGTCAGTGCGCGTCGGAGGCGAGGAGAGGGAAGCTAAGCATTCTTCTTGCGTGTGGCTGAGTGAACTGTAACTCAAAGATCTGTGTCCAAGTTTGAAGTCCGCGAAACACCCTCCAGTGAGACCGAATAAATTGCTGCTGTTGCTACCGTACCGCTGCTGTACCTCTTGAATTGCCGAAGTTGGCAGTGGCTCACAATGTGCCCGACAGTCTGGGCTCGATCTCCATGGAGGGGTGGGGTGGGGCGAGGGGAGTACAAGACCGGGTCTGATAACACTCTGCAAATGATGTTAGCCGTGGCCTGGAATCGTATTTGGGTTCGCCGACTCCATAGCGCAGCGCGCTAACCACTCGATCACCGTTTCACCAAAATGCAATAGTCACAATATACGGTGATGCCTTTACTTGGGAAAGCTTCGCTGAGTCTTAACATTTCTTGAGAAGGGTCCCGCAGAAATGTATTTGGCCAATTCCATTAATGCGTGTTTCAGGTGTGGTAGCAAACCGGAGAAACCCCACTACGAATATTTACATGCATGTATGTCGAAAGTATTTCACACCGTACGTAGCCAACCGTGCTAATTGGATGTCCGGGGGACGGACAACAAACGAAATACAAAACTAAGTTATCAAGAAATGAGTTGTCAATTTAGAAAATGTGTTTTCAATTTCGAAGGGAGTTTCACAACATTTGTGCGGTGATCCACCTTACTACCTCGCCTGGTATACAAAGGTCGTGGGTTCGATGCCGACTCTGACGATCCCTGTATATATATTTGGAGTTTGCATGTTCTTCCCGTGGTCGCGTGGATTATTCTCCGGGTCCTCCAAATTTTTCCCACCACATTTAGAATCAACATCACGCGTTTAGAGGTTCCGCGGAATATGAGGGTATAACCACAGCTCCGCACAGATAGACTCAAGTAATCAATTTGATCAACTTTGCCATCTCCTGTTCACCTCGCATTTCTGAATATTATTGTGCATCACAATTTAATCCGACAATTTTTTTTATAGTCAAGTGAGAGAAAAAAACCCCAACTACATTCATCATGATGCTTTTATGTTTGCGGGTTTAAAGATCGTCTTCTATGGAGGAGGCTCGTGAAGGACGCTGCTGCTACTGCTGGGCAGTTGGAGGCAGTCGCCCTCCAGCAACAACGGAGGGCAGAGGAGCGACGCTCACAACAACGAGCGAAGCGCCGGGTGGCTAAAATGAAGCACGTTGGCACAGCAGGGGGTACAGCTGGTGGTGCATCTACCGGTCATCTCAGCCGGCCAACCCATGGCACCTGCTGGGCCTGTCCCGCGACCCCCAGTTAGCGAGCCTTTGACACTTCACGTGGCCTCAAAGTGCACTTGGCCTGGCACAGGAGCCGTGGTGACATCACCGTCACTGAGTGGCGAATGGCGGTTGTTGGTATTGGTCGGCGACGATCGGCCTGATCTGATACTGTCGTGAGCAGAGGCCGGTTTAATCACG